CAGCACCACATACCAACAAAGATGTTGTGTCCGCCGAGAACTAAAAAATAAATATTAAAAAAAAATTTCTCTCTCTCTCTCTCTCTCTCTCTCCTCTCTCACTCTCTCTTTATAAAAAAAAAAAAAAGAAAAATGATATGTCAAGAGTTTTGTAATGTTTTGAACAAATTATAATAAAAAATTTGTAAAATTAGATTTGTGCAATTTTGTCTTTTTAATACTTTTCTAGTATATTAAGTGTTAAATATTAAGATATAATCAAATTGGTGGATGGAAAGCCAAGAGAATGTGGGTCTTTGTGGGTGAGAAATGAGACAACTGAATTCTTATTTTTCAGAAAGGGAAATCAATATATAATGCCAAACACGAAAACAAATCAAAACTACAAATACAGYGATAGATATATATAATTTAAATAAATGTCAGGGCTGGCACTGAGGCTCTGTGGTAGTGCACTTGCCTGGCATGTGGGAGGCACTAGGTTCAGTTCTCAGCACTACATACAAATAAATAAAGGACTATCAACAACTTTTAAAATATTAATAAATTAATGTCAAAATGATCAGCTAGAAGAATAGAAAATGGTTGTCTCTGAGGAGCAGGAATAAGAGGCTGGTGGAAGACGGTCAAGAAATTCTTTTTTAAAGTAAATTTTTATTTGATGATTAGTAGTGGTAAATACTTGTGGGATATAATATGTATTGAAATGCCACTCCTAGTTTTTTTCTGTCCCTTTACTGCTTTAAAGAATAGAATTTCTATTTAGTAGGTTATAAAATTTGTATTTCAAAGCTTGGGTTTGAAAATATTTGAAATATTTTTTCACTGATTTGAAAATATTTCCTATATGTAAATGGTCATTGCCACACATATGGATTGTGTAACACTCGCTAGACCTGTTTGTCCATCTTACTTCATCACGACACAGTGATGTCTCCAGTACAGATTTTCAGACAAGTGCCGGAGACATCTCTGTACGGTGGTGAAATAAGACAAACACAGCATAGCATATTGTTCACGAAGATTAATTTATTCAGCCTGAATAATAATAATAATAATAATAATAATAATAATATAATAAATGTCCTACTTTTATAAAAATCTGATGGCCTTCCTTTCACAATTGATTTAATATAGAAAGTATTTTTAAACTTGATTTTGTGGCAGAATTAATTTTTTTTTTTTGTTACTGCTGTATGAAATACAGAAGTCTGGCAACTCAAACCTAGAAATACAGTAAATAATGTAGGAAGAGATGTGCAATTCCTTGCGTGAAATTTCACATCYCATGTGTTTAAGAAGTAGAGTTTGAAAAACTGTTATTTAAACTTGAAATGGAACGACCAGTTATCCCACTCCTTGGTATATACCCAAAGTACTTAAAATCATCATGCTATAGCCATTTGTGCACATCAGTGTTTACTGCAGCTGAATTCAGAATAGCTAACCTATGGAACCAAGCTAGTACCCTTCAATAGATGAATGCATAAGAAAATGTGGTACATATACACAATGAAATATTACTCGGCCATAAAGGAAACTATCATGCTAAGTGAAATAAGCCAGTTGCAAAACTCCAAAGGCGAATATTCTCTTTGATAATGTAGATGCTAACACACATTAGGGAGTGGGGGTAAAAAATAGAAGTTCATGAGATTAGACAAAGGGGAATGAAGGGAAGGGAGGAAGGATGGGAATAGGAAAGACAGTAGAATTATTCAGACATAATAACTTTCCTATGTTCATATATGAATACATAGCCATTGAAATTCCACATCATGTACAACCACAAGAATRGGAGGTTATACTCCATGTGYGTATAATATGTCAAAATACATTCTACTGTCATGTATAACTAAAAAGAACAAAAAAACCTGTTATTTAATATTTATTTACAGTTTTTCTTATATGTTGTTAGAGAAGTCAAAAAATTAAAAGAAACTTTATAATTAGCTCACATATGAGAATGAAATTGTAGTCTACTTGTATTTGGAATTACACATTTTATAATATTTATCTTAGGTAACTTGTAAACCACAACCAAATTCATCATCTTGTTTCAAAGTTACTGTTTCGGTGGCTGAGCCCTTTTCTTCCAACATTGCAAATATTCCACGGGATTTGGTTGATGAGATTTTGGAGGAACTGGAGCATAGTGTCCCTCTCTTGGAAGTGTATCCTGTTGAAGGACAAGATGCTAATATACATGATGTTGCTCTGGCTTTGGAAGTTGTAAGGTAATAGGACTTTCTACTTCTGAAAATTAAAATTAGGATATTCAACAGTTGATTTAATGTGTAAGCTTTGCTCATATAAGCACTTTGTAAATATTTGTCAATTTAATTTTTACTGACTGATGGATTAAATTTCCCTTTTTAAAAAAATCGGATCTTCCTGTGTTGCCCAGCCTGGTCTGAAACTCTTGGGCTCAGTGGTCCTCCCACCTTAGCCTCTTAGAGTGCTAGGACTGCCAGGCCTGTGCCACCTCATGAGGCTATCCCTTTTTTTTTTTTGGTGGTGGTGATTGAACCCAGGGCCCTGTGCATGTGAGTCAAGCACTCTACCAACTGAGCTATATCCCCAGCTCAGGCTGTCCATTTTTAATTAACATAATGCATTTGTAAAACTTTTAGTTACATTTATTTGCAGAAGTAGTATATATGAGTAATGAAAAGTTTGCTTTTTTAAAAATCTTGCATTTTAGAGTAGATTTTTAAGAATTCTAGAAACTTCCATTCCTATGTAAGTATCTTAAATTTATTAAATTTCACTTGTTAGATGTAAGACATTACGAATACTAGATGTCATCAACCATATTATGATTGCTTCTTATAAGTTGATGCAGTTAGGGAAGCTATTCATGAACAAAATAAAGGATATTTTTGGCATGTTTTTGTTTTTCTAACGTTCTACCTACAAATTTTGTTAGATCTTACATATTATTTCTTTGTTGAACAAAATCATAGTCAAAACTATGACTATGAAAATTTAAAAGTGAATTTTACATTACCACTTCCAGAAACATTATCTTCCTATCTGCARAATCTAAAATAAAGCCCAGATTATCTAATATTGAAAGTTTTTTCTCATTTYTGGTTCACTGRAAGGTCATTTTAAAATATTTTTCATGAGAATTGAGATTTATATACATAATTTGACATCAGAATATTTAAAATTCTAAACACGATGGTGGTTTTTCCTTATTACTATCATCTTAATTTGGTTTATTATAGGTTTTTTTATGATTTTCTTTGGAGAGACTGGGATGATGAAGAAAGTTGTGAGAATTACACTGCTCTTATTGAAGAAAGAATTAATTTGTAAGTACAGTTTTTTAAATTATTGAGCATTTTATTGATAAGAAACCTTGTAACTGTACTGATACTTTTCAGGTGGTGTGACATACAGGACGGAACCATACCTGGCCCTATTGCCCAGCGTTTTAAAAAAACTTTGGAGAAATACAAAAACAAACGTGTTGAGCTCATCGAGTATCAGAGCAATATTAAAGAAGATCCATCTGCGGCAGAGGCTGTTGAATGTTGGAAAAAATACTATGAGATAGTAATGCTCTKTGGATTATTGAAAATGTGGGAAGATTTACGCCTTCGGTAATAATTGGCTCTATTTTAAATAGAAATAAAAGGTTACTTTTTCTTTTTTTATAATAGCACTTGTCATATAATGGTTTGATTAAAATAGATTATAAAATTAGATGTCTAATTCATGAATTAAGCACAAGGTACAACTGTAAGTTTTGGAAAATTATATTTTATTGCTGAATTCACTTGTCTTATTTTTMGCAAAAAAAAATTTCCATAATTCAGCCCTTTCCTTATTTGTCATCTTTACCTTTTTTGATTGTGGTATAGAGGCAGACTTTTTTGATCATGGCTTTCCTAAAACATAAAAAAAGGACTAGGTGGATTGGCTCTACATATAATATGTGAAGTAAATAACTGATTAATTTTGTCAGCTTTATAATTCCAGCTTCTATAACCAACATAAGCTGTTTTTGGTGATAAATAAAGCAACGTATATTTACTCACGATAATTCTCCAGAATACTTCACATGTATTAAAATATTTTTGTACTACTCTGCAATGAAGAAAATCATTATTTCTGTCTTTGTTTTATAAATAAAAAAAAAAAAAACAGAATCTTGCTCATGGTCCAAAAATTGATGGAAAATCTTGAATGGAACTAAGTGACTATTCCATACCTCAATTGTGTAATCCCTATGTGTGTTCATTGCCCTTAGGAATTCTGAGCCACTTTTTATTTATCTTGCAAATAACTGTTAGTCAAAATCTTTTCTTTTGGCATTTTTCTCCAAACTTGAACTCTATCATTATTTTAGTGCCTATGTTTGATATTTTATTGTTATTGGTGTTACTGTGACAAACCTTAGGACTGCTTTGGGAAACCAAGTAGATAAGATTTTTTTAATCCATTTATCTAGAAATCTGCATATTCATTTACCACAAGTTGTATTTGAATATAAGTTTTCATCACTGGGTGTAAAATGGCATTAAGGTTTCTCTCATCTCAAAGGTTAAAATCACAGACAGTTTAGTTCCAGGAATAAAATAAGTGGATTGRTCAAACRCTGCTACCAGATAACTGTTATAAAATCTTGACGAAATATGTTATAAGTATCTGACTCTTTGAAGGAACTATAAAGTTGTCAAGGCAACAGTGAGGAAAAAAGTTTAGCCTGGAAACTGGCTTATCCTTAAAATGAGTAAGAAACAGGAATCTGTGACTGATCTCAAATTCCCTTAGCTCTGGCAGCAAAAGATACAGTCTTGTTTTTCTAAGGTGACCAAGAAGAGAGTTCAGGACTGGCAGAGTGGCTGCTGGAAGGTTAAGGAGGCTATCCTGAAAGCCAGAGACCTGCAAAAGGATGGGGTCCAAGAGAGACGCCACCTAGAGCCTTGACTGACTACTAGCATGTTGGCACCTGGAGGAGGGGYGGGGGTGGGGGGAACCACAGATGACTGACAGCTGCTCTGTACCTCGTGGGAACGTGGGCCAGGCACAACTTCCTTCTAGAATACAGAGCTGATGACCTGTCATGATAAAAACTTTCCRAAAACTTGGAAGGGATTTTCCTAATCTTCATTAAGACCATCTATGAAAAACTGACAGCCTCACACTTGATGGTAAAAGAATAGATGTTCCCCCCAAATAATCAGGAACAAAACAAAGACGTCCACTCTTGCCCCTTCTGTTCAAATTGTACTAGAGGCTCTAGCCAAAACAATTAGGCAAGAAAGCAAAATAGAAGGTATCCCAGTTGGAAAAGAAGAGGTAAAATTATCTATTCACAGACGACAATGACAAGATCTTGTGTACAAAAAATCCTACAGTGAAATACTATTCCTCAATGTAAAGGAAACATATTGCTAATACACACAGTAACTTAGACGGAGCTAAAAAAAAAGAAGACTGAGGCAGGGAGAGGGGGATACCAGACACAAGAAGACAGATCGTATTATATTATTTCATTTAAAAATTCCAAGAAAGGGCTGGGCATGGAGTGCATGCCTGTAATCCCAGCATCTTGGGAGGCTGAGGCAGGAAGATCTCAAGTTCAAAGCCAGCTTCAGCGATTTATTGAGGCCTAAGCAACTTAGTGAGACCCTGTCTTGAAGTAAAATATATGTGGCTCAGTGGTTAATCGTTCCTGARTTCAATCCCTGATACCCTCCAAAAAATAATTTCAAGAAAGGTGTGAAACATTGCTGGTAGAAATGCAAAATGGTGTAGTCATTTTGGAAGACAGTTTGGAAGAATCTTACAAAACTAGACATGCTCTTAGCATATAATCCAGCAGTCATGTTCCTTGGTATTTACCCTTGTGAACTGAAAATGAACCATCCACACAGAARCCTGCACATGGATTTTTACAGCAGCTTTATTCATAATTTCTAAAACATGGAGGCAACAAAACTGTGCTTCAGCAGGTGAGGCATGAACAAGCTGTGGTGCATCCAGACAAGCGATTTTCACACAGCACTGAAAAGAAGGAACACATCAAGCCATGAGAGATTACAGAGGAAATGTAAATGTGTATTAAGTGAAAGAAGCCAATCTGAGGAAGTTATCTACTACATGACTCCAACTACCTGCTGTTCTGGAAACAGCGAAGCCACGAGGCCAGCAAGAGATGAGTGGTTGCCGAGGGCTGTCGGGGAGGGGGGTGAATAGGCAGAGAACAGAGAGTGTTTAGTGTTTTTGTGTCACTTTCGTGGAAGTGACACTAAAGTGGTGGCTGAACCCCTAGAATGGAGGAGACCAAGAGTCAGCCCTAATGTAAATTGTGGACTTTGGGCGACAATGCTGTCAGTGTAGGTGCACCTGTTGTAGTTACTGTACCACTCTGGTGCTGGTGCTGGGTGCTGGCAGTGAGGAAGGTGAGCAGGTAGTACACAGGAACTCTGGGTACCTTGGCTTAATATTGCTGGGGATCTAAAATTTCCCTAAGAAATACAGTCTGATTTCAAAATTCCAAAGAAGGGAAACTTAGCTGGGCATGGTGGTGCATGCCTGTATCCTAGCGGCTCAGGAGGCTGAGGCAGGAGGATCAGGAGTTCAAAGCCAGCCTCAGCAATTTAGTGAGATGCTAACCAACTCAGTGAGACCCTGTCTCTAAATAAACATATAAAATAGTTCTGGGGATGTGCCTCAGTGAGTGAGTGTCCCTGAGTTCAAGCCCTTGTACTGCCCCCCAACAAAAGGAAAGAAGAAGAAGAAGAAGAGGAGGAGAAATTTATAATGATGGAAAAAAATTTATAATGATGATCAGTGTTTGAACTGCTTGGTGTGATAGAAATGTTCCTTGTCTTGTTATCATTGAGTTTAATAGGTGTGTACATTTGTGAACCATCATGGAGTAATTCACTTAAAATGAGTGTCTTGTATGTAAATAGACCTTAATGAATTTTTAAGTATTTTTTTAGTTGTAGTTGGACACAATATTTTATTTATTGTTATGAATCAAACCCAGTGCCTTGCACGTGCTAGGCGAGTGCTCTACCGCTGAGCCACAACCCCAGCCCAGACCTTAATAAATTTATTTTTTATAAAACACATATTTACCTTTGATTTTAAAACAAGGACAGAATGATAAACTATTGTGGTTTCCCGAATGTTTAGGATGCTTTACACTTGGAGTAGCTAATAATCTGGTATGTGATGAAAAAATATGCCCCATATTTTTATTTCTCTAGATCAAAACTACTTGCTTAAATTGATATAATGAGGGGTTTCATTTTGAAATGCTTAGTGAAACTTTTTATTTAGAGGACATTGCTAATGTTTTGAAATTCAAATGTTGATTACTTGCATGAAAACTTGTTAAAAAGTTTCCTAAAAGCATGTGTTTCACAAAAATATTATTTAAGATATAAGCTTAGGGCTGGGGCTGGGGCTCAGCAGTAGAGCGCTTTCCTAGCACTTGTGAGGCACTGGGTTCTATCCTCAGCACCACTTAAAAATAAACAAAATAAAGGTATAAAAAAAAGATATAAGCTTAAAACTGGGCACAGTGAGGCACCCCTGTAATCCCAGTGGCTCAGGAGGCTGAGGCAGGAGGATCTCGAGTTCAAAGCCAGTCTTAGCAATTTAGCAAGGCCCTAAGTAACTCAGCAAGACTCTGTCTCTAATAAAATACAAAAAGGGACTGGGGATGTGGCTCAGTGGTTAAGCACCCTTGGGTTCAATTCTACCCGCCCCCCAAAAGATATAAGCTTAAAAATATTGACACTAGGGCTGGGGATATAGTACTCGCCTTGCATGCACCAGGCCCTGGGTTCAATCCCTAGCAAAACACACACACACACACACACACACACACTCACACACACCCCACACACAAATAGCACTAAAGCCGCAATCCCTTGGCATCAAGCAGTAATCAAATCAAAGTGCTGCCGAGGATGAAGATCACACCCAGGGAGGTTGCGGGACACCTCTGACATTGGCAAAGGAGTGTTGAGTTGACAGCAGTAATAAATTCCAACAGTTACACTCAATTTTTTTTTCCTGACTTTCTTTTGGAGATGATGATTCAGAGACAAGAAATATAAAGAGAAGTAGAAAAAAGAAAAAAGAATGGAATTAAAATTAGAAGTGCTGATGGCAAATAGCATAAAAACAACTGAGAAACTAGAATAATTCTGCTAGGCTGACAATAGCTAATTATTCTACAGAAACCACAGTTTAGAAAACAAGACAACCGATAATTGAACATAGCATTTCACATTAGGTATGTCCCCAAATTTTCTTATGCCTCAGTGTCAAAAGACATAAACTACCTCTGCTTTCTGTGAGTTTTAAACTCTGGATTATGAAAATATGATCAATTTTTTTTCTAATCTATTGAAAAGCTGAGGTGGCTGAAGTGCTGGTTGTAGTGGATTGCATGCCATCTGCTAGGGACAGCCCACTAAAATGAGAAGATCTTAGAGTAAGGGTAAACACAATCATCCAAAAGACCTTAATCACTGCATTGCCATCCAATTGCTCACTCAGAGAACTTAAATGGAACATATTTCTCAAAGATGCTTAATTATTTTTCTTTACTAAACAAGGATCGATACTTCTCCATATTAATTCAATCACAAATGTTTTTACTATAGAGTTCATGGACCTTTCTTTCCAAGAATTCTKAGACGTAGGAAAGGAAAAAGAGACTTTGGAAAGACTATAACACATATTGTAGCCAAAGTGATGACTACTGAAATGGTAAGAAATATACTTTAGTCGTATTTAAGTTTTAGCTGCATGTAATCAGAAAAGAAGCCCCCTGCAGGTAGAGTTGTTGCTGACTCATTACCGCCTTGTTCCCTCCATCATATCCAGCTCAGTGACATATAGGTACTAAATAAATGTTGACAACTCTATTGATACTTGCCTTTTGCCAGGTACTATGCTAGCTAGTTGCCATGGTAAGGATGAGACACAAATATGAGCATGACTCATTTAGGGGAGATTCAGCGTTGAACCAGACCATAGTCTTGTTTCAGCAAATTTCAAGTACAGTAGAGATATGGACCAGAAAATACACAATTACAATGAGGAATGATAAATGGTACGATGGGTGTGTACAGGGCACATGGAATGGGTACTCCAGACAGAATCAGGAATTCCGGAAGTGCTAGCTGGAGAAAATAACCAAGCTTACAATTCACAATAGTTAAGCTATGGAGCAATTTAGGTGTCCTTCAACAGATGAATGGATAAAGAAAATGTGGTACATACACACAATGAAATATTACTCAGCCATAAAGAAGAATGAAATTATGGCATTTGCCTGTAAATGAATGGAACTGGAGGCTATTATGATAAGTGAAATAAGCCAATCCCAAAAAGCCAAAGGCCAAATATTCTCTCTGATATGCAAATGCTGACTCACAATAGGCACGGGATCTAGTGGGGAGTGGAGGTCCATCAGATTGGATGGGAGGAATGAGGGAAAGCGAGGAGGGATGGGAATGGGAAAGACAGTAGAATGAATCAGACATAACTTTCCTATGTTCATACATGACGACCGGCATAACTCCACATCAGGTACGACCACAAGAATGGGAAGTTATACTCTCCATCTATGTATGATATATCAAAATACATTCTACTATCATAACTAAAAAGAACAAAAAATAACCCAGCTGAAACCCAGAGGATGAATATAAATTTAGCCAGTTGAAGAAAGATGCATTTCTATGTTGTAAAGCAAATATTTCCATCTAACTTGGCCTCTTAGAAGCACTTCACAACTCTTTTTGAAATATTGTCTTTTTTTGTTTTATGTTACGATATTTTCCTGTTTTTTTATTCTTTCTGACTGCTTTTTTTTCTTTCTGTCTCCTATTGTCATCTGAACGCTTGGTACTTGGGTCTATTTTCTACACTTTTTTGTCCTTATGTGATTTATCAATCTTCTCCTATGACTTCATTTATATATACTTATATTCCAGAAGACTCTCAGACTAGAATTTTTTCTAAGCCCTAAGCCTTTATGTGTAACTGCCTATTGCTCGTTACCCTGATTGCCTCGTCAGTATACAGCTCATGGGTCTGCAATTCAATTCAGTATCTTCCCTTTACTTGCTCAGGGTCTATAGTGCTTTGTTTTAGTGAATGGCACCACCATCTACAGGGTCGTTATTCCAGTTTTCTGAAAGTCATCCTAACATCCCTGTCACATTCACTAGCTCACTGGCTAGCTTCCCTGGCTAGCAGAATATCCTGCTGTGAGCAGAGTTGTTTCTTTTATGTGCTGACTGGCTGCCCATCCCTCAGACTTCAGTTTAAATGACATTTTCACTGAAAAGGGCCTTCTCAACCTTTAGGACACATTAGACGCCGTATATGATCATAGCACCCTGCTCTTCTCCTTGTTGGCACTTTCCCTTCTCGTGACAGTCATAATGCTTTTGCAGTTGTCCTTTAAATGTATCTGTCTCTTCCTTATAACATGAGCTTCCTGAGAGCACTCATCCAATCACCAAGCATGACGTCTGGCACATGGTAGGTGACCAACGGTTTTTGTTGAATCAATAAAAGAATGTAGTGTGGCAAGAGAACACAGAACATGCCAGGTGTGGAGGCACAGACCTGTAATCCCAGCATCTCGGGAGGCTGAACAGGAAGATTGCAAGTTCAAGGCCAGCCTTAGCAGTTTGAGGCCTTTAGTAACTTAGTAAGGCTCTGTCTCAAAATTTWAAAAAAATAATAATAAAAATACAACTGGGGATGTACTCAGTGATAGAGTGTAGGTTAGATCCCTAGTAACATAAAAAAAAAAGAAATAGAGTACATATGAAAAACTAAAAGAAGTCCACTAAGGCTAAGAGGAGTATATGAGAGAGAACACTTTGTCTGCTATCCTATTTCTATTATTTTGAACAAAATTGATTTTTTAAAATTGCTTATTGAATGAGATTATTCAATAATGTTATTCTACCAACATCTTTGTAAACAGTTTTATAAAAAGTAGAGATTCTGTTCTTTTCCACAGTCTTATTTTATCATTTTTACTTCTCATTTTGTCCTTGTATCTGTTTAGGCTTCATTTCTTAATTTTCCTACAATGTGACAATGAAAAACTTCTTTGATTTTTATCCCAGACTGTCTTCATTTGTATGCCATTACCCTTGAACTTCAGAGACCAGCAGAATGAGAGCAAGGTCACTGTAAGAAGGCAGCWGTGTCCACTACTACTTTACTTAGACCTTTGCTTTTAGATTCACCTTGGAGTTGACAAAATATTTTAGTTTGGTAGTAGTCATAGCTACTCACATTGCCTTTAACATTGTAAAGTTTGAGGATTCTGTACTCAGAATTCTTGCTCAGTATTCTCTCTTTAAACACTTTATCCATGCCCATCATCTTTAGGTTGGTGATCAGTACATGCTACATAGAGGAAGGAAGGGTATAGACTTTGCAGTCAGGCAACCTGATGTTCAAATTCACCGTCTCAGGGCACTTAATATCTGTGTGACCTTGGGCGAGCTGCATAACTTCTCTAAACTGCCATTTCCTTATTTGTAGCAACTTTTTAAAGAGAGAGAGAAAAAAATTCTGTACTAAATGAGTTAAGAGCACAAGTCTAAAGCCCAAACTGCCTGGATCCCTGGTTTTGCCCCTTACATATGTGATTTTCAACAAGTTATTTAATCAGTCTTCAGTTTCTCTCCTGTAAAATGGGGTAATGGTAATTATGTTCCATATTTATAGAATTGTTGTGAAGGTCAAATGAGTAATTTGTCAGTAATGCTTAGCACGTGGTAAGCGCTCAGCAAATGTCTGCTACTTGTTCCAGCGCATGAACTGAAGTTGAACTT